GTGCCCCCCTGACCATGAACAGCGTGATTGGGCTGAACACAGACGGCCGTGGCAGCTACGTCTGCAGCAGCTGGCTTTGCTTCCTTCTTCATCGCGAGCTCTTTGCGATACTCCTCAGCAACACGAGCGCGTTCTTTGGGAGAGGCAAGTTTCCACATATCTGATGGAATACCAGGTGGACGACTTGACTTCCGGGCCCTCACCAAACGAAAACCATCCCATTGAAACCCAGGTGGAACTGCCGACCCATCCGGCATGTGATCAGGATCGTGATCAGCAAGTCCCTCGGCAGGTGCAGGAGGATCTTCCATCAAAACCTCCTCCAGCACAGATACTTCGCCAGGCTGCAAATACGACTCCGGCTCATATTCCAATTCGTCCGGAGAACACGGTTTGTCGTCGGCAATAGCTTGCTTTGCGGGAAAAACAAACGTCTCATCAAGCAGACTGAACTCATACTGCTTGACGCGGAGGGGATTAATGTCACCCGTCCGCAACTTGTCCGGCAAATTCTTGAGCGGCAATACCAAAATTTCATGGGTGTAGGTAAAGCCAGGTTGCACATGATAGCCAACAAAAATGCCGACATCCGAAGTTGGCAGAAACTTGGACTGCTTCGAATCGACGCGCTGACGATTGATCCAATACGACAATTTTGCACCAAATGGAATCTTCGTGTCAGGAAACTCATCACCAAAACGCAAAGCCCACGGCGACTTATCCTTGTCATCTGGAATTGTAACATTGAGAGCAAATGCATGATGTTGAGCTGCCAAAGGCCAAAGCTCAACCGGCAAACCACTTTGAAACAGATTTGCTCTTGCTCCCTCCAGAATAGTGCGAATCTCGCGCTCGATCACCCCGGAAGATTGACTGACATATGGCTGACTCAGCACGTGTCTCCAACCCATACTCTTTACTGCAGCTGCAATCTCGCCAGAATTGTCAGAATAGAAAATCCCAACATGATCATCTGGCTTCGTGAAATGCTGAAATGCACGAACGCAACTGTCAGCATCTTGCCTTGCTGAAGGGTAAAAATACCGGAACTGCGTGAACACATCTTTCACGACCAAAGCATTCCACTCGCCCTTGAACCCGTACGTCTCATCATTTGAAATGACGTGGTCAGCAGTCACATGATCTCCGAATGCTTTTGCATCCACCGAAGAAGATCCATGTCTGCGACGAGCCTGAGGTGCTTGCATCTTTGATCGCACACACGTTTCGCAAAAGGGGTTCTTGGGCCTGTGAGTGAAAAGATGCTCTTCACTTTTGGCCTCACGCATCATCATTTCTTTTGAACGCTTTGACATCGGTTTTGGAGCTTTTTCAACCTCAGGGTTGTCCTCCAATTCCGGATCAAACTCCGGTTCCAGCGGTTCAGCTTCATCAGGGCGCAATGGAAACGATGCAGCATCCGGCGGAGGTTGCCCTCCGCTTGAAGATGAAGGCACTTCAACGCCCCCGATCTTCTGATCGGATGCAGCAAGAGCAACAGGCATAGCTGATTCAGAAGCTATGACCTCGCACTGATCGTCAACATAAGGAACTCGCCCATCGAGCTTCAATATTACCGCTTTCCCGTCAGGTCGAACAAAGTACGGAGCACTGTTCTTTCTCCATACGAAATCGTACCCCTTTTCCAAACATCTTTGACCAACAGAAAGGACAGCTGGTGTGCTCGGCAAAACGTACGGAGTGACGACCTCGTTCAACTGATCAATGGAGAAGTCCGCAATCTTCTCTGCACAAATTGATCCATTTGCTGTTGAAAGATTGATTGGAGTCAATGCAGGATTTATCTTCTTTTGAAGTGTAACTGCACGCTCAGAGTCGACCAGATCTTGTTCACTACCTGTGTCGACAATCCACTGACGAAGCCCTGCTGGTGCTGGCGTAGCAATGTACTCCGGCACATCGTCAAGGTTCGTTTCATCATCATCAATCCAACAGCCAGGACAATACAAACCGCAATAAATTGGGTCATTTTCATCATAGTATTCGCAATAGAACCCACAAGGCGCGTTGTAGTTTGCATGCATCAAGTCAACAACCCCTTCCAGAATCAAAGCTTTGTCTTTAGCATCGCTCAGATCCATGGGATTTGAGCCAGGCGCGCAACCGTCATACCACACAACCTCAGGGTCATTCGGCTTTGGAGCACATGATAGGCATAGCCCATTGGCCTCGATCTCGACGATCTCGACATTGTCTGCGAATTTGACGCATCTGCGGGTATTGGAAACATCTGTACTGCAAATGAAAATTGTTTGCCCAGTCCAGTATTGCTCCAAACCTTCATCAGGATCCGCCCAGAAATCACCAAACACTTGCTCTTTGCCATTGATGTTGGCTTTGGTGATGCGCTGATCCAATAAACGTTCCAGCGAAATCGGAAGGTCTTTTGCACTCTTCGGATCATAAAGCGCTTTTCGAGGCATCACATGGTGTCGAATGATCATCTCGTTCACCGAGTCAACTTCCCAGAAATCTTGCTTTGGGCGGCATGCCGCGAGGCATGCATTGGTCTCTTTCACCCTCAGACACACAGCGGCTGAGGACTCGCCCTTTTTGCTCTGGGATCGCTTTCTCCCTTTTCCCTTTGGGGTGGGAGACCTACCTCTGCTGGCTCCTTTCTTCGGGCTCGGCTTATCTGTTGCCGGTGCAGCAGACCGAGTCTCATGCGAAAACGCACAGTTGTCTCCGCGAGTGCAATTCCCCTGACCGCCTTTGAAAAACCTGCACGGGATCTTTTTCAGCTCCGCTCTCTTTCTCGATGCCGACCGATCCCTGTCTCTCCCCTTGCTGTCAGAGCGCCCCCGACCTTTTCCTTTTGGATTTTGGCTCGGGGGTCTTGGGTCTTTCTCATGCTTGTAAATGCAATTATCCCGAGTGCACTTGCCTTTCTGAAAATCATAGCAATACCTGACCGCTGACGGATCTCTTGCACGCCCAGGATTTGCATTGGGAGCTGGAGCACCGACCTTCTGATTGTGAGCTCGAGCAACACGATCACGATTTGACTGCAATCGCTCCCGAGTCAAAACATCACGAACGGCTTGAACAAGAAACTCGTAGCTCTTGTCATACGACCCATCTTTTGCACGCTCGTATGTATCGAGGTCATACTTGATCTTGTGACATCCACGAATCTGTCGCAAGAAAATGTCCTTCAAGACGTGCTGCTCCGGAACGATCTTCATGCCAGCAATGACGGAATCCCAATTCTGAATAAAGGTCATCAAATCATTGCCATGAAGCACCACCTTCAACAAATCTTCAGTGGAATACAACGCTCCGGCCTCCTCATTCGTTCTGAAATACTGCTCAAACATGAGAAGAACTTGACGTCCACGGACAACTTTGTCCAAAGCAGCTTGTTGCTCCTTGTAGGTGAGGATCTGCCGACTAAGGTCGCCCCTAGCAATCCGCGACAAGGCCGCAAGAAGCTTTGTATCCAACGTTTCAAACTGCTCTGGATCTCCTAGCTCTAACATGAGATTCTTCTTATCCTCCCGGTTGACGTACACCTTGTTAACCCAGGTGAATGCAGCATCAGGCCGATCTGAAGCAGCCCGAATTTCTTCGCGAGTAGCCGTTTTCCAGGCTCTATAGGTCTCAGGAGTGGGAAACTCACTCAGCCTCAGCGAATCGGCTTCCTTTGCTTTCGGCCGATCATGCTGATTCCGGACGAAGCCGAGGAGGGCCGCACGGAACTCCGCCTCAGTGGTCTCGGGACCAGTCAACCGATCAATGTTCGGCTGATTTTGCTGACTTCGGCTGTTCTCTTGCTCCGAAGACCGTCTCGCATGATCTTTGATATCAAACTGCATTGCACCAGAAATAGGATCAGTCCAACTCTGCTGTGGAATAATCTGTGGCATAGTTCCAGAAGTTTGTGCATTCTGCGTTGGAAAAAGACGCGGATCATCAAAGATACTTCCCCTCTTATCGAAAAACGACTCCGAACTGACGTTCTGTACACTTGACGCAGGCTGAGGATCTCCGCGCACCATTTCACGCTGCGCCTTTTCGAGATCGTTCCTCAGACGCTCAACGGTGTCGTTCAGCCCGTTGATCGTGTCCTGCATGGCGTGATTCTCCGCCAAAATACTGTCTCTCTGCTCACCGACCGCCTTCTCCGAGTTCTCCATCACAACAGTCTCAGCATGTAAGCTTTGTGCGAAAGCGCTATACTGTGCCGTTCTTTGCGACACAGCTTCGTTCACTTCGGCAGAAATTGCTCCCCGCATCTGGCCAACCTGGGCGTTGAAGAAAGCGCGAGCCTCTGCGAACTGCTCGTGCAGCTCAAGGGTCCGACGGTTGTTCTCCTCGTCCAGGCGATGCACAGTTTCCGCCAAATGAGCGCTATATTCCGCCCTTGTAGCATCCATAGCAACGCGATGTAACGTGTTGGCCTCTTCCCTAACAGCGTCACCCGTGTCGTTATGCACATGCATGATGTTCTGGGTGGCTTGGTAGTTTGTCGCGAACCCGAATACGTTTCGAGGATCGCGAGGGTCAACAGGACCTGTAGATGCAACTGCACCATCACCACCGTCACCAACTTCTCCAGATATATTGTATATAATGGGCAAATCTCCGGATGCCATGGCGATCTTTGTACAAGCCTTTACGGCTGATAACCTGTGTTATCAAGCCTAGGCCACCTAAGGTAATACCTAGGCAAGCAGCAAACCGTTGACTACTTTTCACACTGCTGGTAGTGCTATTGAAGTCTGTAGCGGCGGAGCATGTACAAGGTACACTCATGCACAGGGTTGGAACCTGAATCCACAGCATGTACATGAAAGTTACCCTCAATGTCGAGCACCAACTCACTGAAAGCCTCAATGTATGTGCCATGTATGAACCCTTGGTACGAACCCCTGGCTTATGGGAAGAAAGCGCTAGTCATGGCTTGTGGGAAACCAGCCCCCAAACCCCAAATGGCCATGGGCTGAACGGACCCACCAGGCTTTGACTCCAGCCCAGGC